GAGTAGCTTAAAAACATCTAAAAAGATTGGTACAATACTGGTTGCAATATATCTTTATAGAAGTTGTATGTTGCTTCTGCTTTCAAATTTATTTAGGCATTTACTGAGGTCAAATTGTATTTATATACACTGAATGTTATTAATATTAAAATATTCCCTGATATCCCCTGACTGCCTAGAAAAGGAAAAAAAAAAAAACCAGAAAAAACCAGGTCTATTGGCCATGTCTATTGGTTAAAAACTAGTTTATTATAGGTGTACATTAAAGAGAATCAAATCCTGGTTGCACAGAGCCTTCTGGACCCTCTCAACAAACTGCCAGCTGTTGTTTATTGCAGATATTGACCAAATGCTAGGAAAAGCAGCCATGTATCACAGACCTTTCATGTTCAAACAGAAATAAAGTGTTCCCTTTGTACGTTCTTTTTTCATCGGCTAGAAAGATGCTGAACTCATGTGTAAATGTAAAACCCAGAGAAGAGGAAAAAACCCAGCAAAATAAATTGTTGAGGCTGCTCTAGTGAATACAGTGAGACAGGGAAAATTAATTCTTTTTCATCTGATGGCTTCTTTCTTGCCATACGTTGTTGCATTTTAAGTTACTCCACTCTCACAAAAAAAAAAAAAAGAAAGAAAAAAGAAAAATCTTCCTGCTTTCATTTAGAATGTAAATTCATTTTTTTAAAACAAATTAAAACCAAAGGTACAGAGATCGCTGTCAACACTGTAGAATAATTTGTGTCTTCCCACTTGTTGTAATTGCCATTATTTGTTTATTCCAGGTCATGTATGCATTACAGACTAATTATTTGCTTTGCTTACACAAGTCTCTCCATTTAGAACTATAGCAATTAGAGATTTTTTTAGAAATGAAATTAAATTGTATAATTTATAGCATTTCTACAATTGGGTCAAGAAATGCCATGCTACTAACTTGCATTTTTTTTCTTAACATGTATTTTGTTTATTACATACCAGGATGACATAATTTCTTTTTACACAAAACACTGATTTAAATCCTGTTTTGCACTACAGAGCTGTCTTTCATGTTTTAAAGTTTTACAAATACTAAGATCAGGGATTTATTCCCATTTAATGTCTTTGAATGGCGTTGAGGCTGTAGATATTTTCTGTGTACATGAACAAGCTCTCCAATGTCAAACAGAAAGCAACATAATTAAGTTTTCTATGCTTGTAGTTCAATGTTTTCTTTTTCCTGAAGAAACTGAAATGGCACACTCTGCTTTTACTATCCTGAGGAACATTAACCTTGAGGACTGTGCTGAAAGTTGAGGGGAACAGTGAAGTGGACAGATCAAAAGAGTGGCCAAAAAGGAAATAGAAATAGAATAGCATTGTTTTGTTTTGGTTTTTTTTAACCCAAAAACTATGCTAGAGATGGAACTCAAGCAGATTACCTGTTCTTCAGTGAGCAGGAGGGTGGAAGGTGTGTTAATCACCAAAATGAGAAGCAATAATAACCAGTGCTGTGCATTACTGGGAGTACTTAGATGAGCTTGGCTAGCCACAAGAATTATTTAATATTATCAGTAATTTTTGTTCTCCACAACACCCACAAGTTAGGAATTTGCAGATGTCATCCTGATGCTGCCAGAAACAGATTCACAGTAACCTCAATATATCACCAGAAAGGGTTTCTGGAAATCCTTTGGTTTTCCATGTGGCATCTTAGTATTTGGAAATACAAGTGTGATGTTATTGCCTTAGCCACTCTTTGCTATTGTTACAAAATATTCATGTCACATTACTTTAAAAAATAGCATTTATTCTGCATCAACTAGTCAAAAGAAGCAAACTTGCAGTTTGATGAACATTGTATAGATTGAAAACTTGAATTGGACAATATCAATTTTTTTTATGTCACATAAAGTGGATGTTAATTGCATTTATTCAGTCTGATCATTAAAAGACTGGAGGATCCTGCAGTCACAATCATGAATTTGCATGGCTGAGTCCAAAGGACAAGTAATGTGTGTATTTATCTGTGTCTTGAAATGTAGTTTTGGTTTTTGTCTTTGTGATCTGTGATGTGCCTCTAGTGAAATGTCTCTAAAAGGGAGATTAGCTCAATCTAGATGATGCATATTTTGCATATGCCACAGTTTTAAACTCAAGCACCACATAGATTGGTGTTGGGAGGAAAGGGTGAAAAGTGATGTGAGGAGGGGGCAGATTTATTTCCTCAGGTGACCTGGCAGCTAACACTAAGGTCTGAAAAATATCCCTGTGGGAAACCCCACATATTACACCTACTGCTCTTTGTCCTCTGTCTGAAACCCCCAAACCTGCCAAACAGCACAGTAGTTCTACACTACTTCTATGAACATACTAAACAAGAAATTAGTCCTGATAATTTAATTTCTGATGTAAATCACAGATACATCTCATGTGGTAAAAGGCACCACTGTAGTTTATATTACATCTGAGATAGATTTTTAGAAAGAAAATTTTACATTGATGGTTTGAGAAATAATTAGCAATATGTCTTTGGGAGAATCCAGTCCTGAATTCGAAACTCTAAAATTTATCTTTTTCTTTATAGGGTTGTTGGTTTTTTTTATTTATTTTGCAGTCTGGTTGGATGACAAAGTCTAAAACATTGATAAATTTTGAAAGGAGATTTCTAATATTTGAAAATTATATGACCATAATGAAGATGAATCAAAACTAAGATGTGGTGTGTCAATAATCAGCAGATAATTTTCAAAATAATCAGAAGTTTTTGGATAGTTCTATTTAGATGAAACTAGCTAACACCGAACAGTTTACAGGTAATACAAACTATTTTTGCAAGTATTGTTCTTATCTGTCAGCTTCGAAACCTCTCTTACTCTTGACTCCAAATTTCTTTGTTGCAATATTTATAAACCTGCTCTCATGTGTCTTTTAAGGAAATGTGAATTAGCCAAATAATGAAGCTAAAATTATAATCTGTTTGATAGCTATTTGAATAAAAAATCAAAAACTTGCTGTTATCCAGCGGCACGCCGGAGACTGCCTTCTTTTACCTAAAGGTACTCATTTTATTACTTGTAAAGATAAAGACTAATTAAATGTTACACAGCCTTTCAGTAATTCAAAAGCTCCACTAATGAGAAGTACCATCCTGCTAAAAAAAAAAAATAAAATTCAGGCAGAGAGGTCTGAAGAATGAAGGGAAGCAAAGGGCACTGAGTGAAACCAAAGTGGCTTGCAGCAGGTCAGTGTGACCACTGGGACAACACCAGGAAGAATATTTGGTATTTTAGAAATACCAATTCAAGCTCTGCATCTCATAAAAGAAATCTGAGCGTTGAGGAAACTGTGAGATCGCTCCAGCTCCATTGTTGGAAATTACATAGGATCACCATAAACAGGGGTCATGGAAAACCCATCTACTTCTAACCCTGCAAACAAATTTGCACAGAAAAGCCTCTGTGTCCTTTGATACCTGCTGCTTTTGACTGTGAGCAGCAGACATGTTATCAGACTGCTCTTCCTGACAGAGTTTGGGTTCAACAAAACCAGGTGCCTGTGGGGCACAGTGGAAAGTAAAGATACAAATCATGCTGGGTTTCTAATATTCCTGCTGGGATCAATATGCTGCGTGTATATATATCTATATATCTCTCCCTTTTTATATATATTTATCTGTGTGCATGCAAATATATATGCACCAGAAGCTGCTTTCCATTTCCTTCTCTAGTTTTTACAGAAAGACAGAATTCAAGGCAAATCAGGTCGTGTGTGGAAAGACAGCCACAAATGTGCATGAGGTTGTGTATATCATCTATATCTATATCTATATCTATATCTATATCTATATCTATATCTATATCATCTATCTATATCTATATCTATATATCTATATCTATATCTAATCTGTGTCTATATCATCTATATAATCTTCATCTATATCTAATCTATATCTATCTATATCATCTATATCTATATTTATATTGATATCTATTCTGGTTGCCCCACCCATGATGAAGGTTAAAGGCACAAGTTTTACTGCAAACTGTAGGTTTATCCATGTATTTTTGGTTGGCATTTCTGAGAATTAAGTGATTGCAAACAGGATCTTTTGTTTAATTTTTGTAATGTGGTGAGCAAGTACAGTCAAGGTTATTCAAGCTCAGTGCTGAGTTTCATTAAATCAAAGGGAATGAAGGGTTAATACCTCATCCTTGGAGTTTGGAATGACATTTGAGCATGAAAAGCAAGTTTCATTTAAATGTGAACCTTTTCAAATTATATTTTCTGTGAACTGGTGCCAACTCGATTACAGAAACTGCTTTTGTACTGATCTGGTTAGTAAGCTGCCTGTTTGTTTTAAATCTAATACAAATGCTTAAATTTAGTGACATGCATATATTGCATATATTCCTTGGCTTTAAGTATTGGAGTTTCTGTCATTCTTAAATAGTCTGTTCTGGGAGATATTGTTAAGAAATTAAAAATGACCTTTATGTAAGAATTCTTTAGAAGGGTTAAACACAGACAGAATATGCCAAACTGAATTAATTTTTTAATAAGCTGAAGGATTTTACTGTTGGGTCCTACAGAGGACTAAACTTTATTTAGACTCTCCCCTTCATATCTCTAGAGTAATGGGAAATAGCTGAATTTGTAATGAGCATTAAAGCCAGCATAAAAATTCTGATATCTGTTCCCCCGCGCAAGGATCAGTGATTCTGTGACTTGTTGATTTCCAGTTTAGGAAGTTTCTCATGATGCCCATCACCATGGCCATGGTTCAGGAAGAGGCTGGCAGTGGAGCAGCTTGCTGGCATCTTGATGTGATGAGAGGTCACCTAGCAATGCCACGCCAGGTGGAACATCTGTGTGTTCCCCACGGAAAAAAGTGACCTCGCTGCCCTGTCTTGTCAGAAAACAAAAAGGCCGAGGGTATCATCCTGCATAGAAGCTAAAAAATGGGCTTAAAAAAAAAAAAAGAAGTATTAGGAACTTCAATCTTGCTTTTAAAGCCTTTTTAGAAGAGGCAAAGAGATATTTTTAATAATAAAAATAATAAAAAATGTTTTGGTGTTTCTCAGTAACAATTACAGCAAGAACCTATAATTAAGTCAGAATTACCAGAATGCTCTTCCAGTGTATATAGAACACTGAAATATTTGAGCTTTGAAAAGCCATGGCTCCTGAAAATCTTGTTTCAATGTTTGGAGTTGACACAACTCAGTGAGAATTTTCCTCAAGGAAACTGTATATGGTTATATCTCACATACAGGTTCCCTGAATTGTTTTTCCTGAAAAAAACTAATTGTTGAAAATGTGTGATATGAGGATAGTCTTTGAGTAATCATTGCCTAGATATGATGGAAAAAAGTGCATACAGACATCCTGTAGTCCTTATTTCAGCCTCCCATTGCACTGATGTACCAGTAAATGGGTATAGAAATAGCTTTTCTTGAACTTTGTCAGACAAATGCAAATATGGCATAAAATCTTTTCTTCAGAGTTAGGTTCATACTTGTGAACTGCTTAACTCCAATTTCCTTGTTCAATATTTCTTTGCTAGAAATAAAGTGGATTCCATCAGCGAGCTAAGATATAAATCTTGAATGACTGAGAACTTTGGGAACTGGTTGGAATAATGGATTGAATGTCACCTGTGTATGCAAAGTTGTCAGAATCTGTCAATCTTCAGGAAGGCTTTGAGGTGGGTGTGTATTTACATACCTGTGTATATAAGGTGACTGTGTGGGACAGTCCTCAGCTTTAGTGACGGCATATTTGGATCATTAATCTGACCCCACATTCTGATGATGCCTGTCAGATTTCAGGGAATAGCCATATGTTCCTTTTGGAAAGAGCCAGTGTATTTCAAATACCTTGAGAGCCACTGTTCCCATGAAGAAATTGTTTTCTTTCATAAATTTGTGACTTGGGTGCGCCTTCTCAAACTGCAATGCCCGTTGCCCAAATCTTCATTTTCCGTACACTTTTTTGACTTAATTTGACTGCACTGGTGCAGATAAGCTCCTCTGACTTTCCCTTGCCAGCTGAGTTTCATGGTTTATAAACTGTTTACCTGACCAAAACGCTTTGTTGCCTCCTTGCCTACTTTAACTCCTTTTGTCTCTAATTCTCAGCTGTGCTCACTGAGCTGAGCCAGCCAGTTTTCCTTATCCCTGCCTTTCTGATGACTTGTTGCTGTTTGAGTTCACCTGCTAATGGATGATATGATGTTGGAATGATGGATAGTTGCAGGCAGATGAGAAGCAGTGGATATTTGTTACTGCTTTCACAGTTAGCATTCCAAGGACAGACTACTGCCAGCTTCACTGGAGCCACTGCAAGGGCTTCACTTCTATGAGAAATGATGAAGGAGTTCCCTCCTTCCAAAGGAGATCATTTGTAGGGAAACAACCTATTTTCCCAAATGAAATTAAAAGTCTTAAAAACTGCAAATAAATAGATTTTATGTTGTTAACGTTATCTTTTTTCCTCCAGGTTTATTTTGCAGTAGCATTTCTCTGTGATCGTGATTTACCACTCCCAAGAGAATTACTTAATTCTTTGCAGCTTTTAACATTGAATTTCTTACACAAAAGAGATGCTCAATGTATTGTCTTTTCTGTGTTATGTTATTTAACTTTATGAATAAGTCAAAGGTATAATGATCATCCTTGGTAGCCTAGAACAGAAGAGTTCTCAGAAAAAGAAATATACTTTTTTTTTTCCATTGAACAGTTAAGTTCATAATATATTAATGACAGCCCTCACATGCACCAGTGTCCTTAAACTTCAGGTTTGCTGGTACTTACAATTCCAGAGCACATCAAAGGATTGTCAGCCTGCTGTTTAATATCTGAACATTAGCACAAGGACAGAACACTTGTGGATTCTGGAGAAAAAGCCTGATTCATTCACTGTGTCTCAATTCAACAACTTACACTCTCCCTCAGGTACTGCATAGCTTCCCATAGCTGGTTGACAGCAAACCCAGGCAGAACTCCATAAACATTGATCATTTATTTCATTGCAAAGCTCACTTCTTTAGTTTAAATTGCAGATGAGATTGATTAGAACCGACCCGACAAAGTTTGCAGTGAGGTAAATTAAGTGCTTTCATCTCTACAGCTTTAAAGCTTATCTGTGAAAAGTGGGCAGGGGGAAGGAATATCTCCTCTGGAATTGGTCCAGTTCAATGAAATGGTTGGATCTAAACTGTCCCACAGGAGGGGACAAAGATCCCTCTTCCAAGGGATGAGTTAATTTGTGGGCCCTTGCACTCCAGGGTCAGCTCCATCATCTGAAACCTGCCTCCAAAAATCTGAGCTGTGCACTGGAGCAGAAAGTAAATCAAAATGCTATTGTATATGGTTTCCAGAAGGCATTATTTTTATGTATTAAATTTTCATTCTGAAGGTACATTTTAAAAATAATGAGGAATACTAATATTTTCTAAGAATTTCAGTTGCCTTTAATTGTTTATATTTCATGTACCCAGGAGGCTGTATCTAACTGGTCTTTTTTATTAAACCCAGAAAATACATAACTGGTTACCTTTTAGCACTCAGCATCTCACTTCCTGAAGACAAAAGCAAAACTCTTAGTGAATTTGATGAACACCACCACCTTTTAGGCTGTAGGGAAACAAAGAAGTCTATTAGGAAAATATATTTTTGTACAACTTTCTAACCACTTTAAGAAATATTGAGAGAAAACAATCAGCTTCTAAATTAGAACAAATATTTGAAAAAAGGCTCCTGAGTTGGATTTCACTATGGCTCTTTTATACAAAGGATCTATAAGTTTAAAGCTAAGGGTTAAAACTCTTAAATGAATAAATTAACAGTACAAAACATCTTACCTGAAGGATATCAAACACCTAAAAATATTACTAATAGGTAAATCAGAGAACTGGCTGTTCTCTAACTAGTCTGTTGGTATTCTCAAAGGAGGTGATCATTATATAATTATTTTCTTGAGGCAGACAGCATCATCAACCGCTTTTTTTCTGAATTTTATGACATGCTAATTTCCCATCTGTCCCAAGTAATACAGACTCTACTCTTTAGCTCATCCACCATAGCTTAACAGCAAAATTGCAAGAAATAAATGTCTGCTCAGTCCTTCTGAAGGCTGGGTTCAGATGAGAACTATCACGTTGTTTGGATTGGAGGGAGTATTCCCTCTCAAACCTGTCTCTAACATTTGTTATTAATGCCTTCATGTTGACAATCACCAAGAAAAAAAACACTTTCTTGCTCTGGAAATCCAGGCCCAGACGCACACAGGATTTGTAGTGCTCATCCCCAACAACTTCAGCAGGTGCAAACAGATGGCTGACATTTCTGTAAGGCCATAAAATGCAGAATAAAATGCAGAATACTACTGTCCTGCTACGCCTAACTGGAATCAATTAAGTATGATGCAGGATATCAGCCTATGAATCACAAGTCATTTGTTTCCTGTAAATTGCATCATTTGTTGGGCTTTTTTTAATGCTTCATTTCATGGAAGCCCCAGGGGTAGCAGGAAAGGCAGCAAAAGAGAGAGGTAAGTAGATACTTGAAGCAGTTAAATTGGAAAGTGAAATTCCCTGTTAAAATCTCTGGTTTTGGAGGTTATTGCCATATTCTATCTTCGATTTCATGTTCCTTCTTGTTTGATCTCCTGAATGCCTTCCTAAAATATGCTGGGTCAATTACTTATGCTGTGCTTATATCGCTAAACCTGGACCAAAACAAATAACTATAACCTTTCTTGAAATTATTTTTCTGAGCTTGATTCTTTTGCTAATGCCCTAAAAATAGTTGTATCAGGACAACAAATAGATGCAGAAATTCGCAGCAAAAGGGGCTTCAACCAATGTTTCAGAGCTTTTTAGCTAGCTTTGGAAACTCATAGTCTAATATTTAGACAGAACAAAATTGCCATGAACAGAGGCAACTGAGTGGAAAAAGGACAAAAGGCAGAAAAATCTTCAGACGGGAAATACAAAATTAAAACAAAGAGGAAAGGTTTATTAAGAATCTAAAAAAACTTCACTTTTTTTGCCCTGATTCCTATCTGCATAGTGAAATGTAAGAAGAAGGTACAATATAACAATAGAAATTTCATTTCACTTCATGCTCCTGTTTTATATCCTCAGTTTTCTCTGAGTTAATCAGAAACCTTTGCTAATTACTGCAACAAAGGTGAATAAATGGCAAGGGGAAATAAGCAAGAGTTGTTTATAGGCTGAGTGTGGTGACATTATCTTAAAAGAATAAGTTGATGTGACAATGTTTTAAATATCAGCTGGCAACTGCTGGTAAATTTGCACTGCCTGTTTTTAGCCTTTAATTTGTGAGAATGCTGTGAATAGAGATTAACTTCCTTTACTTAATATTTCCTGTTTCAGTGCCTTCAAATTGGAGCTGTCATCGATGTTTTTTGAAAAGTTGTTAATTTTCCCAGGACTTTGTGCTGATTTCTGTTTGTCACACGATTCACTCTTCCAACTCTTCCAGTATGGAAGAATGGAGAACCAGTGGAGGCCTTTTCTCACATTACCTGAGCAAGGAGGATTTCATAGGCTGGGACTTTCAGGTTAAAATGTTCATATTCAAAGACTACTATAAACCTTTCATGTAGCCTTGGACTACTCTGGGTTCTAGCACTTAACCTCCAAAATATAAGTCCTGAGAGGAATGAATTTGAATTGAATCCAGAGGAAGTGATAAAATCCATAAAAGTTGATGCTGAGCATGAGTGTTCAGACCCAAACTTCTTTTAAAGCAGAGAAATTCCAGTGAGTGTTCCCATTTGCTTCCTCCACTCCCACCCTCTCTGTGCCTCAAATCTCAGGAGTTATGGAGCTTGGGGATTGCAGCTGGGATGTAAAAAACAAGGGTTTAATGGCTGGCTGAATCTCAGCAACCGAAAGGAGCAGCTTGGACTCGTAAATCTAACACATCAGAGCTCTTTCATTTTCTCAATATCCCTTTTATAATCCTGCCTTAGCTCCAAAGGATACTTTGCCATTCACTGGTGTGGGGTATAGCAGCACAATTTGCAACCCACCTTCTTATTCCTTCATGTAAACATTACAGTTTTCAGCTTAATAGTTAAATTTGATTGGTTTTGTCTAACTGCAATGGCTACGCAAGTGAGGAATGTTTAAAATTTTTATATTAAACAGAGAAAATATTAAAAATCTGCAAAAAAGCAGATTTGTTCAAAGTATCTTTTTGTGTTGGTGCAAAGGGGAATATATTTTATTTTCACAACCAAGATTTGCTTTCTTTTCCATTATTTCCTTACAAAACAAATAAAATATGAAAAATAAAAGTGAGTCTGTACAAGCAACTAGTTCATGTCAATATTCACAGAGAAAAAATAATGTTTTATGGTGTATATGATGTCAATTAAACCGAGGAATCTTTACATATTCCCAAGTAGAAACACCACATATGGTTTCAGTATATAGCCTCTATGCTGTTAAAAATATAATTCAAATTTTTCCTATCATCTTTTTATAGAAGAAGTAAACTGTTGAAGATACATTTGTCAAAGCTTGATCTGATGTTGGAAGCACACACTGAAAACATAAAATAAGTTGCAAGGAATGCATGTAAAGACTGATAGTCTGCCTGTCATGAATGCTTTAAAATATGTATTTCCATTTAATTTCTTCAAAATTAGAAAAAGCACTTAAAATGAATTTCTTGTTACTAGGTGGGCAGCTTTTGCAATGGAATGTGGAAGCAATTTATGTGATGGAACTGGCAAGATAAACACCTGAGATGACATGGAGACACTGGGGAGCTTTGAAGGCAAGTTATATAAATGTGAACTAAAAATGAAAGAGGGGAAATTGAAATGAAGATAAAAAGGTTTTAAATACCTGAGGGCAAGGTAAAAGGAAAGCAAAGGCCTCAGATTCATTGCTGTGTATTCTAGGACCCAAGTCATATGATCAGAGTGATTTTTCTTTTCTAAAACCAAAAGAATATGTCAATGTAAATTTTTTTTATGGTAGAGGAAACATGCTTGAGGTTTTCTCTATCACTCATTTGCAAATGGCAGTGCTCAAATAGTTATGAAAATTAATAGAACAGGGTGTTTTATTTGTTAGTTCACCTAGGGAAGAGTCATATCCTCCAGAGAAAATACATTTTTTTCTTTCACCTGGTGGAGCTAACTTTAAACTCTCTTTAAAAGACCATGGGAGACTCATGGAAAGCATTAATGTAATGTTGCCAAGCATGTGCCTTTTTTCTCTTTCCTTCTGCCACTGAAGTTTTGGGTTGCTGCAATTTCAGTTTGCCTCTTTGCTCTGCTAAGGTTGCTGTCATTGGTTCACCACGTTCCTTGGGTATTTGCTGCACATTTTACTGGCAAGAGCATGAATAGAAATATAATTCTGACATTAATTAGCTGAGAATGTGTGCATCGTTGGAGAAGCAATATTTCCAGAAAAAATCATTCAATTGAGGTTGTTTTTCAGGGTCTCTCCTGACTACTGGATTTAAACACTGAAAAAGAAAAGGGAGCTGTGACATCTAAAGGTGATAAATAAATAAATAAATAGATAAATAAATAAAGACTGGAGGGGGTTTGTTGAGGGTGTCTCACTTTGGCAGGACACTCACTGGGCTCTGGAGGTACCATCAGAGGCAGAAACTAAATAAAGCAGCTCTGCTATGAATGACTCCACAGGATATCATGAAACAGTGATCAAATTGTGACAAAAAGCACAATGACATGCTTATTTATACTCTTATTTCACTAGAGGAAGTGAAGATATTTATGAATGATTACTTAGTCAAATACCCTGGTTCTCACAATAGGTTTCTAATTTCTCTTACTTGCCATAAAATAGGGATGACAAAAACCCAAGAAATTAAAGGATGCCACATCCCTTCAGAGTGAGGGAAAGGCAGTAAGCTGAAAGTAGAGCTGTGTTGCCCATGGGGAGCGTGCTGTCTGTCTCTTGAGAGTCTCTTTGGGAGCCTCTTTGGGAGTCAGCTTGACCATGGGCTGGACATTTGTCCAAGCACTCCATTGATTTAGATTACTGAATGCTTGAGACTCGTGGTCTCAAAAATAGAGTTGCAGAAACCCTGATATAAACCTACTGAAAGACCAATACACTTCTGATGTGAACAACTGGTTTCAATTCTGTTGATACTGCAGGAAAAAAGAAGATCTAAATGCTGCTTGGGAAATGGTGTAAATCAACATATACAGTTAACCAGAGGACCTTCAAATCATTACTGACATGCAAAAAGTTGATTTATGTCATTCCCTCACTGACAACCTCAACCCAAAACTTAACTAGCCATGAGTGAGTGCAACAGATTGGCTGAATAGAGAAATTAGAAGACAACAGCAGAGGCTGAAAAAAGATGTTTGATGTCATTGACGCTAAAAAAAAGGCTGAGATCCTGACATGCAGAAAAGCAAGTGCCAGAGAGATGAAAGAATATGGTGAAGCACATGAAAATTAAAAAAAAAAAAAATCTGCTAGAAGGTATTTGTTCAAAATATAGTAGAGAAATACCTCCAGTAAAAGTAAGGCATCTCCACTCAAAATTAAAAGCAAAAAGCACAGAAAGGCAGCAAGTCCAGGTAAGGTACTAGTGATATTTCCTAAATAAGGGGAAAGGTTGTTCCTGACTCTACTGAAATTTGGCAGTGGACACTTGATTTAAACGTACAGTCCAAGAAAAAATTCTTTTACTTGACAGGTTCAGCTGAACAGCACAAACCTATGATTTGACATCTCCTAGGACACCTTAGTGTACTATACAGTATTAAATTAGAAAAAGAAATTACGGTAAGAATATATGTAAGAAAATACCAGAACTTTGGTGAGAAGTCCAGATAGTTTATATTCACTTTAGCTTTAACTGTGCAAGAGGAAAAAACAGTGAGCAGAATAATGTTAGATGTGGGAAAGGAGGTTGCTAGAACCAAGATCATTACAGGCTGAAATCAGAGAGCTATAGCAACCAGAAGCAATTCAGAGCTGTATTAGCTACCTTAGGTAGGATAAAACAGCCTTAATTAAAAGTAACCACATTTACTTTGAGTTTATAGACAGACACTATATTAATAATATATACTAATATGCTAATTAGTGTGCTAATATATACTAATATGCTATCATCCAAATAGCAGCTGGTTCACCTTGCTATCTTCAGCTAAATTTCATCCTTGTTTTAATTAATTTTTGTCACATACTATTGTATCAGACACTAATATTACGCAAATGTTTGACAGTTTCTGTGTTCTCTTAATGCAGAATTTCTGCATTCTCACATTTTTTTTTTCGTTTTGCCTTTTTTTTTTTTTTTTTTTTTTTTTTTTTTTTTTTTTTGCAAGCATACCTGGTATAAACTAGTTCTCGATCTCCTCTAATGTTTTACTTTTTTTTTAAATGGATGTTCTGGTTTCAGGCTGTAATACCAGGATCTTCACTTCTCTTTCTGAACAGTGGCGATACTGCTGAGATTCTGGACCTGCAATCCAGCTCTCTCAGAACTGTTGGCTTGAGATTTTTTCCCATTCCTTTACCTCAGTGCATACAACAGCTTAGATTATGATTCTTTTTAGCATGGTAATTTCCATTTCCATAACTTTGTTTCCCATGTTTCTCGTGCTCTCTTCCCTAGCTCAGTTGTCCATGAGGCAAGCTGAGGGGATGTATTCATTCATTTTATGAGTACACAAATCCCTCTGCACAGACCCTGATAATGGAAGGTCCACTTTTATACATTATCCCGCTTTGCCTCTTACAGTCTTTCACACCATTAACCCCCAGTATATTCTGCACCATCACTTTGTGCTTTAATTCCTCTGCTCAGGGCACACAGTTCAATATTCCACTTCATTAAAACTCATCCTCCAACTTATCTCTGGCACTGTAACTGTTACTTACAGCCTGATGCATTTCAGCATTAATTCTGTTTCATCATTTTTCTCCCTAGATACCTGGAATTTCTATACAAACATTGCTAACTTGTTTATATTTTGACAGTTTTTCTCTCTCTGTTTCATAAAGAATGCGCTTTCTAACTTTCAGTGATGACATACATGCCATTTTCTACAGCAAAGGAAAAAAAAAACAGGATTTTGTGGGGGGGATATAGCTTTGCTAGTCAGTTTGGGTTAATCTTTTGGCAGTGTGAAAAACAGACTCCAGTTTCTCCAGCCCACAGTTATGTTCATTTCTTCTGTCAGGTGATATGACTTCCTGTGTATGACTTCTGCTAAGGCATTTTTAACAAATTTTATTCCCTTCGGTGTAAGAAGAGTTATCCAATGTTTTCTGTTAGTGCTCATTTCCAAATTATGGACTGCATTTTGATTCAATCTGTGCCAAACTACATTTATTTGGTAGGAAACAACACTTTGTTCTTTGGTAATATGTTCTGCTTGAACTAGTCAAGTTGCTATATAAATATTAAGCTTCCCAAAGGTCTTTTTGGTAGCAAAAGGTAATTATTTAGGTTAGCACAAGGGTTAAAAGAAGACACATAGAGAAGCCACAGAAGAGCTGCTTTTAAAGCTCAGACCTCTGATTTAGCTGTTAGAAGTTATTTGGTCTCTGGTTTAATTTGGCATAGCTGGGTTTATGTTCATCTGCTCCAGAACAGTGTCAGTGCTTGGGTTATCTTCTGAGCTGACCTTCATATTAAAGGATTTATGAGTTAATTATTCCAGTAGGGTTTGTTAAAAGCTTTATCTTAGGATCAGATTTATTCACTGTACATATTTAAGCACTTCTGTCTTTATTAGATGGTTTTGTTCTTGCTCCTAGGAAACAGCACCAGAGCTGGAGGTTTCCAAGGTCTCTGGATGTATAGATTTGAGCTGTAAATACAAAAAAGGAAAAATCTTCACCTTACAGTTAGAATCTAGAAACCAACCTAAAAACCAAGGAAGACATTAGAGAAAACATATGGAATTCTGTATATAATATCAAATGAGCAAATTGTCTGCTGTGTGCAATATTTTCCTTCTCCCTACCACCACAGAAGGCTCTGCTCCTCTGAAGTCTTACATAAAAATACAAGGAAACCTTCCTGAGTCCATAGTCCTGTTCTTGAGTATCTTCTCATGATGCAAAGCTTTTACTTTTTACTTAAATTATCCAATTGAAAGTCTGTAATGCCAAAATAATAGACTGCAGACATTCATTGAAGATTAGTTTGTTTTAACTGATTTTTTCTTTTTTTCATGTAAAGGTGATAAAGTCAATATAGTAAAAATATACCCAAGAATGAAAATAAGAGAAATTAAGGACAAAATAAAAATTCTACAATGCTGAAAGAAGTGTACACCAGGTAGAACACATTGTAGATTATGCTAGGACTCTCAATATGCTTCCCCTCCAAGAATAAGAGGGGAAAATGTCAGTCAAGTTTTTTTTTAAAAAAAAGATAGATTTTGATCTGTGAAAAATTTAGATGAGAACACCTAGTGAACTTTATTGCCTTCAGACTTATGCAGATGGTGAGTGGGTTTAATTCAGAGACTTACATGCCAAAAGTTCTCAAACATCCTGTTTTTGGCACTCAGGGGGATTTTTAGGATATGGCACTTATGGCAGGATTATAAAATTCTTGTTCATGTTGCATCGCAAACTATTGCACCAGGCTTTAACCTCTTTCCTGCTTTGTACATAATGTGAGAAATTTCACTCATTCAGGGATATTTTGTGGAGATTTCCTGTTTACCTACCGCCATTTGTGCTCTTAATGAATTCAGATCAAATACTTTGAGGCAAGGTGCTGCTCACTGTGAATAGGAACACCACAAAATGGTTCATATGGTGCATAAGTCACCAGGATATTTTGCAAAATTATGCAAGTTCCACAGTTACATAAAAAAAGTAGAAATATTTTGCATCTCTGAATTGTTTTTCTTACTAAGGAGTCACCCTTTACCTTTCTATGAATTTTTGTTTTGCTCTCAGGACTATTTTTTTCCATATTCAAGTCCAGTTGTTTGGGAAATAACTCCATAAAGGTTTTTTTTACAGAAAAATAATTAGTAAGAAATGCATTAGGAGATCACATATGGGATACACACCTATATTTTCTACCCATTTCCTGAGTCTGCAGAGGGTGTCACCCACATCTGGTTTGGGAGGTTTGTTTGTCTCACAGCTTGTCTCAGGTACTGCACTGAAATACTTCAGTTTATAATCACTGTGTACTTAGTGGATCATCTACTCTGTTTACAATCAGTGGAAGAAGAAGGTGGCATTCTGAGACTCAGTTTCCCTTCAGATTTTTGTTTTAGCCGATGATGGATTTATTAGCAATTGATCAGATGAAGATCAATTATTATCTAGTCTTTTGGTAAGACTAGAATGGCAAAATAGATGTCTATTTGCAACTGTGCTTTTAATATCTCTTCAGAATCTCTGTAATGTAATCCAGTGTTAACCTAGTTTAGTGGTATATTTCTTTAAATATCAATTTACTTCTTTCACCCAGCATTACTGATCTCAGTATTTCCATTTTATGGGTGTTGATAGACAGATACAGAAGAAATTTGTCATTTCAGCTTGTAGCTGGAATCTGTGTTGATCATCCAGAAGTTCCATAATATTAGTAATACAATCACAGCCCCATAAAGCAAAGTGTTGGTTTCTTCAGTGTCACACAATTTGGATATTGACGTACTTGACTCATCTTGAATTATAAAAATAATATATACTGTGAAATCTTAAGCTGATAGTCTGTGAACCTGAAAATAAAAAGGGAGGCTTTTTTTTTACATATGGTCTATTTCTGTTGTTTGGACTGTTTTCCAGATAACCATCTGTAACAGAGAAAGGATGGCAAGCAAACTGATTTCTCATACTTGGTTGCCAAGATTCATTAATATCTGCTTAGTATGGCACACTGCCTAATCAGAGGCTGCTTGGACTCTCCGCTGCAGGTTTCAAACAATAATGTGTTTAGAGCCTGCCTTTGGGCAGGTCTTTTGGCAGCAATCTAACAAATTTCTGCACATGATTAAACTTTGTGTAGAGCTGTGTCTGCTAAAAGGAAAGAGAAAGAAAGAGAGAGAGAAAGAGAGAGAGAAAGAGAGAGAGAAAGGAAGAGAGAAAGAGAGAGAGAAAGGAAGAGAGAAAGGAAGAGAGAAAGGAAGAGAAAGAGAGAGAGAAAGAAAAAGAAAGAGAAAGAAAGAGAGAAAGAAAAAGAAAGAGAGAAAGAAAGAGAGGAAGGAAAGGAAAGGAAAGGAAAGGAAAGGAAAGGAAAGGAAAGGAAAGGAAGGAAAGGAAAGGAAAGGAAAGGAAAGGAAAGGAAAGGAAAGGAAAGGAAAGGAAAGGAAAGGAAAGGAAAGGAAAGGAAAGGAAAGGAAAGGAAAGGAAAGGAAAGGAAAGGAAAGGAAAGGAAAGGAAAGGAAAGGAAAGGAAAGGAAAGGAAAGGAAAGGAAAGGAAAGGAAAGGAAAGGAAAGGAAAGGAAAGGAAAGGAAAGGAAAGGAAAGGAAAGGAAAGGAAAGGAAAGGAAAGGAAAGGAAGGAAAGGAAAGGAAAGGAAAGGAAAGGAAAGGAAAGGAAAGGAAAGGAAAGAAAGAAAAGAAAGAAAAGAAAAGAAAAGAAAAGAAAAGAAAAGAAAAGAAAAGAAAAGAAAAGAAAAGAAAAGAAAAGAAAAGAAAAGAAAAGAAAAGAAAAAGAAAAAAGAAAAGAAAACAAGGAAGCAGGTGAGGACAAGAGGAAGCACTAACAAGACAGTGCAGGAGAACATTAAGCCAGTCCTCAATGCCAGAAAAAGTACAGTGCCTCTGGGCAGTGCAAATCTAGGGAGATTGTTTGGGCTGGAATATAAAAGTGTGAGTAACAGGTGATAATAAGCAATAGCACAAAGAGAGACTGAAATCAATCACCTGAATATAAGGCACATGCTACCCAGCGAACTGAGTACGTAAATAAGGTACTCCAAATGCTGGATCCAAACTTTGCTAAAATCAGTGTGAAGGTTCCTCAGGAGACTTCAAGTTCCACAGTACCTTCTACACAAAAAGAATCCATGTACATATAGTTGTGTCGTTGACAGGAGAACAAACTCACAACAACATGAGGAAAATCTGAGGGATATAAAAAAGACCAAAAATATAAATAATAGCAAAGATTTAATCTAAAAAATATGTTTTATTAACCTAATGAATCATCTTTTTTGACTTTAATTAACCAAATAAGTATACTGATCAATATGAAATTGTATGTAATTATACCTGTTTAATGCTTTACTCATTCTTTTTTACTTAGATTGTGGCCCAATTTAATTAATCTCACCTCCAGTTGTCTACATGTAGAGATCTTCTTAAGATTGAGTGAAATTGGTATGACCTCTCTGAGAGATATTTGATGATAATTACCATTTCTGTTATTATTTTTACAACATACAATAGCAAGTAATTCCTATTACATAAAAACAAATAAAAGAGTTCTCTAAGTAGCACTATTTTAGTACTATGATGGGAAAATCATGAGGTACATTCTTTCAATTAAGGTGATTATTTTGTTTTGATAAAGGGGCAAAAATAAATGCAGAATGAAGGCTGAATGGAAAAAAAAACCATGAGAAAATTAACACAGTAAAACCTCAACCCTGCATTCTGAAACTGTAAAACCCAAATGCAGAAAATACTATAGTTTTACAGACTTTCTGTAATGTCTTATATTGTATATTATGGTGTGCTCTGTCTTATTTTCTCTTAATTTATCCCAGACAGCTTTCAGAAGGCATGTGAGAACACGTATTTTCATTTAAGGATGCTGATTCATTGTGATTGTGCTGCAATGAGTCCTATATTGTTTTTCCCTGGCTTGTGCGAGGATCAGAATTAATAATGTACAGTGGATTATCAAAGAGGGAAGGTGGCAGTGAGCCATCTCAACTATCAGAGACGACTGTGTGCTTCAGAGAGACCCAAGCTTTTATCATCCCTGAAATCTCACAAAAGCGAGTAACAACAGCAAAGCAACAAAGCTCCTCACCCAATCAACAAAATAAGGTCAGTTTTTTCCATCTTAGGGGCTTGAAAACACCACCTTCACTGCCTTTTGCTATCACTGAAGCAATTAAAAATTTCCATCTGCCAATATTTGATGGTGTAACTCCTTTTGATCACTGCTCAGGTGCAGATGATTCTCTGACCTTCAACATCCATTCCTTTCATATCCATCCCAGTGCTTCAGAACATTCCTGTATTTAGCCTGTCCTACCACCTAAAACTCTACTTCACTTGTAGTAAACAATGATGAAAAATCACTAAAGCAATCTTTTGTTCGCTGCAGTGACATTTCCTCTAATTAAATTTTCATCTCTGAAGGTATTTGGGCCTCTCCAGTCCATCTGGGATATGTTTGCCCTCGGCATTGCCGCAGGCCGAATGTATTTTTGTTGATACGCCGAGCAGCATGCTGTCCTCAGTGGCCGTGGGTATTCCCCACTGGTGGTTTATTCAGGAGATTATTTCACCAGTTTCAAAGTACTTTTTTCTGAAGTCTTTTTTTCTTGTCTTTGAAGAGGCGGTGAGTGCTGAGTGCCCCCCCGATGCCCTCTGTTCTATGGATCCGTGTTGGTTTTGAGGCGTTTTTGCGTTTTTCCAGCAGGATGTGTGCAGGGATGGGATGTGATGGAGGGGACCGTGCTCCCACAGAGGCCAGGTGTCACTGGAGGGACCTGCTCTTCACAACATCCTCCTGCACTTTGAGCATCAGCCTCAATTAAGCTGATTAGGGGTGATTTAGGACGGGAATTCTGTCTCATGATGCAAAGAACGACAAAATAATGTGTGTAGCAAGACCTCATTTCATGGCTCCGTGGTGGGACATGTCTGGCAGGACAAACTGGTTTGCATCTCTTTTGACAATTCCTGTGTCACCTCTCCCAGCACGTCTCAGCAGCCAAACTGCAAAAGGTCATTTTTGCACACATGCAAAAAGCTGCTACAGTGAAAGATATAGTTTATTGACTTAAAAAGAGAAAGGCATGGATCACTGCAAAATGTAATGGAAGTGTTTTCTCATTTCCTTTTGGATAATAGAGGCCAATGGGATGAGTATTTCCATATTGGCAATGCATCATATATATTTTTCTAATTCTTTTGAGATAATAGAGTCTCATTCTAAAGAGAAGACTGCATGAGTTCTTTTAGTGTAATTGTTGATTTGACTGTACTATGGGTCTGATATAATTTAGGAATATAATATTTTAGTAAAAGTTGAGGTTTCATTTTCAAGGGAATCTGATTATCCAGTAATTAACATTCTGAAACAATTTTATCATACTGAGAGACCTGGGCAAAGGTAGCAACCTTCATTACCAGAACTATCACTTTTGTAAATTACTCCTCAAACTTTTTAAAAATCTCCACAGTCTCCTTTTTTTTCCCCCTCAACTTTTACATTGAAATAAATGCAAGGGCAAGTTACTGAAAGAAAGGAAAGGACATGAAGAAAATAGGAACAAGCCACCTGTGGATTATTGACATTTCTGTGGTTAAAATTTCCATAACTCTAAATAAAATCGTGCTGTTTGGAGAGAAAAATTATGGCTTTCATAGTTGCATGGTTTGAGTTTTTGCTTGCTTTTTGAGTCATTTCCACTTATGCAAACAGAGTGAAAAACTGGGATGTAGATGTGTCACATTGGAGCAATGGTTGTCTCTTAGGCTGACTTTGCACAGGAGCAAATGAAACAAAGGAAAAAAGAAAGATAGCAGAGATGGGACCTCCACTTCTGGTTTCAGTCTTTGCTCTTGCCTTACAAAACTCAATTCTATATTACATCTGTATAAATGCAGAATTCCTTTTAGGATATCATCTATAAGCTGGATTGACCTCAAAATGAATTCCAAATCTGGCAATGGCAGGCAAACCCCTTTCCTGACTGACCACACATATGCCAAAATTTTTGAAGAGCTGGGATATTTGGTGTGCAAGAAAAATCACTTTATTCTGAGGGAATGCTGTGAAATTACTGGAATGAGCGCCTTGGTAATTTTGCATAAATACTTTTGAGGGTTGAAACAGCATCTCAGTAAGTTCTGAGAATCTGTATGTTATCTGCCAGGCTCTTCCAAAACTTTACATGAATCTCTGATTATAATTTCTAATCTCTAAAATTCTCATTTATGCAAGAGGCAGTGAAATTACATTGTAAAATAGGCACAGATATTTACTGGTCTTGGAAATTTTTCCTTTTGAGAGTTTTGTATAGTTCAAGGTACTCAGGCTAAACAAGAAACATATTTATTACTGCAATTGCTTATTTTCTTCTTAAAATTGCATTAGGATAGACTTTCATTCCACGCTGGGTCACAACTGTTTTACCAACCCTACATGACATAAGTAACTCACGAATGACAAATCTACAGGGAAATGGGTCTGAGACCCTTTTTTGCTTCCAAGTGAAAAGGACAGAAATTTTTCTTCAGCACACATGAAAATGGACACAGCACAGCTGTAGTGTTAGGCAAAAAAGGAGCAGATGCAAGAGCAAATAATAAATATAAACTTATAAACTTCTCTGAACTCAAAGAATAGCAGTGGCTGCATCTCACAAGTAAGAACTGTCAGGACTGTTAGGTTTAATATTTTATCTGGGGAGTTCAATCTGCCTTTTAGGTATCAAGGGAGCTGTCTGTACTGACAAGAAGTCAGTATGCTCTAATTCCCTAGCTGGAGTCCAAGCTCCTGTCTCTTTGCTTATAAAATAAGTAAATTTACATATAAGGGGAAAAAAAGAGTTCTTAATGCCTTTCTAGCAGTAATTTTTTAAAACATGCAATCTGATTTTGAGGTAAAATATTTGTTGATATGAGAAATAATGGCAGACCCAAAAAGACTTGCATAAAAAGCAAAGAAAAACTATTTTATGACTATTTTAAACTAAAATATTCATTTTGTCACCTCTTATATAGGACTCTCCTAATAATGTTGCCTATTTGGTTTTTTAGGAAAGCCTTGAGGAAATCCAAGCACCTGAGGAATCTACAGGAGAAGGTACCTCATCCATCTAGAACCTTGTTAAAAAGGAGTGAGGGAAAGGCCTTTTTAAGTGTGTCAGTGCATCCCAGGTAGGGATGCACCTGGCACTGGATGCAGACAACAGCTGTCTCACCAGCATCCATAATCTGTGCTGGTGGCTTCCTGGCTCTACCTGTGTGCCCTGAATGCAAAAAGCATCTGTTTCACATTTATTCATTTACTCAGATGGCATTATCTGCATTACTTGCTACCTTTGGACACAAGACTCTCATTTATAATTCATAGTACACAGATGCTTACAGAGAGTAGAAGCTTTGGCTACATTACCTGTCACTCTTAGTATATTTTGTATTCATGGTGGGTAAATATACAAGTATAAAGCTGCCATATTGTGTATGACTATCTATAATGCATTAGCAAACAGTTGTTTGATTATTTACACTGTCAGTCTTTATAGTTGGAGAGATGTTAGAATGGAAAATGAAACAAACTGTGGGTTCACTCTCCCTAATTTTCTTTTCCTTTCTCTGTTTTTGTGCAGAGCTCATCCCTAAAACTTAGGTAACTTCCTAAGTTTTTGGAAAATGAGGGTGGCTTTGTCTCATTTTGCTTCTTGTGCTCCTCCCTTGATATGATCACCATTCAGGACTTGGTCAGATATTCACTAAATTCAGCTGGCTTCAGAAGATGATTGCTATTCTTTGCTTTCATAGGCTCATAAAGCCTGCTGAAAATATTAAAAAAAGAAAAATAGGCAGGAATAAAGAATATCAAAAAGAGGGAGTGAATGTAACTGGGGAAACATTCACTCAATATTACATATTAAGTAATTTGCTCTTTAGGACTGAAGGAATATATAGAGAAAATATCTTAACAGTACTTACCAAGAGCCATCTGAATCCATCAAATGCTGTTAAAAAAAACCATTTTGGAACAAGGAGAACATTCTGTATGCCATGTATTGTTTTTAAAAGCTATTTTTAGTGTGGTAAATATTAAAGGATGTCATTGTCCCTTGCATGAGCTCTCACTCATTTTTTAGGAAGCTTTGCCAGAGATGCTTGACTTAAGAACCCATTAAAATGAAGATATGCTCAGGAACCTTGCAGGAATAGTGCTTGAAGGCATGGGCACCAAGCATGCTTGGCAGCCTGGAAAGCTTACAGAGCTCACAGAAAAGGAATGCCATCACATTAAAGAATTAGCATAGCCCCAGGCACCAGGTTTTTTTTATGTTGGTTGGTTTTTTTTTCCCTTTTTTTTTCCCAGTAGATGCGAATGACATTTCCTATCTGAGACACTGTTTAAAATATTCCTTATCCACATGTAAGTTTTTTTATGACTACATTAAAAACCAAAAGGTTGGCATGTTCCTGCTGACATTTGCTCCTATTCCTCTCTTTCACTGTATCTCAAATGAATCTCTGATGTTCATCTCTCCTTCCACAACCTTCTCACTCTCTCCAAATATTGCTACTGCCTCCTCCTCGTCCCTTTTCTGCTAGGCAGAACTTGTTCTGTCATTCTTCCTGAAGTCTACCAGATGCCACAAATTCAGAAAAACTCCCACCAAAAAAATCCCTCTAAAGTCTTTTACCTTCTCAGCAGCGCCTCCAGATCACTCTTTGAAAATGCAAATAAGATATATTAATAAATGCAGAAAGAATCTGAGCATCAGTACCTGATAACATAAAATTAACTTCTCTTTTTACTGACCCTAGTCTATGAGAATTGAACTTGGGGAAAATTGAAGAAATAATCACTCAGCAGCCTCATCAATCAAACCAGCAGCTTAGGCTGCTAATTATTCCCTGGTGTGGATACCTTGGCTCTTCTGACCACTCACCAAGGAAACTCAGGTTATTGATTCCACTGCATGAAAATAATCCACCTAACTCTCAGTTCGTTTCTCGTGGGAAATCTTCTTGCATAAAGTTCTGACAAAGAACATTTAACTAAAAAATATAGTTGCTGACATCTAAACATCTAAGCTTCATAATATCCTAATGGACTCCATTTTGCCAGTTGCTTTCTCTATAGCAAAAAAAAATAAAACAAACAAACAAAAACAAACAAACAAAAAAAAAAAACAAACAAAAAAACCAATCTAAACTGGCCTTTCTCCCCATTAGTCAAAATCTCTGTGTAGAAGCAGCTCACACCTTTGTTCATGAGGCTGCAAACAGCCTGAAAGGCCAGGTCAGGAAGCTGCTGCTGTTTTTGGTTTCTTACATCCATGCAGTACAGTTTGAAATTGCTCCATCCATCAGGCTGCTGCAGATTGTTCTTTCAGTCTTTATTAATCACAGTGGGCCAATCTCACTGCACCTCTGGTGTTTATGTGGGGCAGAGCAGCCGTGACCTGGGTTTGGTGGCTTGTTTCCCCACCAAAATCAGGAACAGCAGTGTCTGGGGATAGTTACCCTGAAGTGCTCTGCAGATATGCCAGGAAAAGAAGGAAGTATCCTGTTTCCATGCAAGAGCTTCCAACAATTTGTCCCTGACAAACTCCAGATATAGATTCCCTTTTTAGAGGCTGTGAACAGCTAAGAACAGAGAGTGAGTGAATTAGGTCAGAGAGCTGTGAAGCCATTTTAAGTGAGAACTTCAAAACTATCATTTTTAGGGTAGATTGGTAATTTTGTGTCAGGGGTCAAGCATTGTCCCACTGACTTTCAATCCACAATTCAAAATTTTGTTTGATTTCTATATTATACTTCAGGAAGTATTAATGCTAATTTTCTACCAAGCGTTGTTCCAGTTTTCAGCAACTGCATATTGATATTTAAGGGTCATTGCTGAGTGACTTTGGAAAGTTTGCATCACTGTTATTAGCATTATTTATCCTGTAAAGCGTCTGGGAAAACTTCACTGCTAGTCCCTAAAAATATTCATGCTGGAGATATGTTTTTATCCTCTGATCTCAATGGATGCCTGCTGAAAACTTAGAATCTGGTAGCAAAACCTTCATGATACAGAGCCTGAGACTCCCCAAGCATCACTTCAGTAAGTCTTCAGCTTAAATCCATAAACACTCAGTAAAGACAGTTATAGCAGATCTTCACACTTTCATAAAAAAACCCACAATTTTGATTTTTTTCTTGAAAGCTCTGATTGCTTCACTGTTCTAAGGCCACTTTGGTATAAGGATTTTTTATCTTGGCTGACAACTGCACTGAAGCCTATAATAAGAATCCCCTCCTTTCGCTCTAACAAGCAAATTCCCTGTTTTCTGAGAAGCCTTTCTAGGAAGGCAGTGCTGAATGTGTACCAGACTCGAAAAGAAAGCCTATCTATGCTGCCATTTTCACTTTTTTTATTTTTCTCATTTGCAACTCAGCTCACATCCAGCTCGAAGGAGCAATTCTGCGTGCTGAAAACGCTGCAGCTGGTTTCCTCCAGCGCTCCCCTCCTTCAGAGCGAGGGAGGCAGCGGTGGGCTCACGCAAGATTGGCTTAAATGGGAAATCAATACTGGTTCCTCAGCTCCTACAAAAGAGCTGAACTGGGCTGGATTGGCTCCAAGCAGAAAAAAAAGGAGTTAAGTGAAAAAAAATAAACCTGGCTGCCAGTGGGATAGGTATTCTCCTGCCTACCACGCTGTTTGGGTCTCTGCCACTGAACCCATCACAAGAAGACTGAGATAACCTGGCTTACCTCCTACCATCTGTTTTTCAATGGATGATAAATATTGGAAAAATAAAAGTTGGAGGCTTTTTATTCCCCGGACATATATTAGCTTATAAACACATAAATGTTTCTGTTCAGCATCAGTAAGAATTTGTACCTTGTACTGTATTAACCGGTTACAAAAAGGGATTGAAAACTTATTCTGCAGATGAAAAGTGGAGTCATCGGTGTGATTCCTTGTTCTACAGCAAAGGAGAAATATGTGATCTAATTAGCAATTCCATCAGACTTTGCTCAGTGATTGGAACTCAGTTTCACAGGCTTTCACTTGACAAGACTTTGTATTTAATCTCTTGTATTAAAGTTTTCTATGAAATAAATCTCAATAAAATTTGTATTTCTGAAATCTCTGTTGCCTGCTATTTTTTGCTTAAATAAACTTGAAAGAAAACCCAACAATGACAGTGAAAACACTGTACTAACTTAATTGTTGTGTTTTGCTAGATGGTCAGGTCCTCAGTTTGGTTATTTCTTAACCTCTGCTAGTACCCTGCTGGATTCAGAAACACAGGTTATGAGTTGCCATTTCTGGTTTTATTTAGCAACACACCAAAAATGGAAGGATATTTCTACTGAAAATCCTTCCTGCACTGAGGACAGATTCCTATGAAACTTGCTGGTCCCCAGGTAGTCCCAGAGCTAGAGAGGCAAAGGGTGAATCTTACAGGAGAAGGTACAAAAAATGATTTTTATTTCAAATACGTTTGTGATGTGAGACTCACAAACCTTTATAATATATCTATAACCAGTAAAAATTAGTGATGGTTACAGGCAGGGACTTTGGGAAGACAGCAAAATGATTCTTTGAATGTCAGGCACAATTGGATGCATAACTGGAGGCAGCCCTGCTAAGTACAGGTAATGACAGTTTCTAAACCAGGAAGGTAGCTGAGCATAAAGCATATTTCATATTAAGACCACTGACACAAAAAATACTTGATTAAAACACCAGAATCTCTGGTTCTTAGAGAAATGAAAAACAGTTTTCTTTTAAGGTCTAGAGCTAAATCTTGTGAACAGTCCAAAACTGCATGAATGAAATACTGCAAACTCTCTTGAGCCTCTTCAATATCCCAATCTTCTAATACAGTAAAGATGGTTATTTATATTCCCTCCATTCATACTCTTACACAGGTTATACAATTTTAGTGGCTCTCCCAGCTTAGAGATCTTAAGGGATTGTCTGATATGATAAAGATCAAGCCATCAGCAATGAAAGATTGAGCCAAGCTTTGTTTATGCAATTTGATTTATTAGTCATTGTGATTACTCACAACCATTATCTTTTTGCATATTGACAACAATGCCATTGTTTATGTCTTTAAAGTATTTCCTGCATGGAAGCATGGGGATGGTACACTGTGAGCTAGGGAAGGAATGGACAAATGTATTGATACTCAACAAAAGGCAAGGATCAGAAAAAGGGAGCAAAAAGCAGGAAAAAGAAAGTGCTTATGTGTTAGAAAGCCCTCTTTAGCTACTTTAAATGAAAGGGTAAAAGAGAAGAAAACAGCAAATATCAGTTCTGAATTTCCTTACTGGGCTTCCTATATGAGAATTATTTGTTAATTCTGCTGCACTTTTATCCTTTAATTTATGTTACCCCTTTTGTTTTGGGGCAGTCAGGAGAATGTGCCTTAAATAAACAACTAATACTGGAAGTTATCCTATATATATAAAACATGTTGTGACCTGTGTGTCTGCAATGTAAATGGAAATCCTGCGTATTCAGTTTCTAGATAGTTCTCCAGTTATTGTCCTCTGCATAATTCTTCACAGATTTATGTAATTATTTGCTACAGTGAGGGGGAAAAAAGTCTTTCAGAGTTTTCCAAGTACAGGGTCTGTGTTTCTTCTAATCTCTAAACATAAAATCTGTGTTTCTTTATGTATATTGACTCACATATGTCTTCACAGGTCCCTCATGTATTTTGAATGCTAAGCCAAAATCTTTTAAAACACAAAACTGTCTTCATGTTAGCAAAAATGCTTCAGTTCCCATCAATTCCATTGATTCTATTTCCACAAAGCTTCTTTTCCCTGACTGACATCTGTTACAGAATTTTCACATTGATTGTATGATCTTGGATGTGCTCCCTATGAAAACCACTTTGTCCAACAGGCTAAGTATCATTCACAGGCAGATGTAAATATATCACTGTGCATGGAATTATGTAGAGACAGACATATGAAGGGTTTGTTCCATTTTCTGGTTCATTATTCACTAGGGAAATGATGGAGCTGGATTGGTACCCACAAAATCTCAAGTACAAGACAGTTTGTGAAGTCACTGGATTTTTTTTTTTAGTTTTGCATGTTAAAACTCAGCACCATCAGTGAGGACTTTTGTGCTGGGTGAGTAACTCAGGATCTCTCCATTCACATGTCCTAATGGCAGCCAGTCTTACAGAGCTAATAATAGCAATTAATAGTAATAGATGCAACAGGAGTACTGATTAATATTCTGTGCATACTTTGTTCTTTTCTTCGATGGCGGATAATAAAACTCCGCTTCTTTGCAAAGCATTTTTTAAACTGGAGTGTGTCATCCACACAATCTGTCTTTTGGAATATGTTTTTTTATTCTATTAAAATGCTAATCTGAGATCATGGGAAATTTTTTCTATCAGCCTTCAGATTCTTGTCCATCCTTCAGAATCCAGACATTTTTCTCCTCACTTTCATGATGCTTCCTACTGTATAAACACTGAACTGTGATGCTGAGTATTTTTTGGTCCTAATTACCTGGTTTCACCTGTTGTCCTTAATCAGTACTGTCCTTATCACTCTGATCTGGTGGAGCTGTTCTTGCATTTCTTCATGTATTTCTCTATGGTTTAAAGAAAAGCTTGAAAGAGTACGCTAAAGTGAAATAGCAAGGCTTCATGTGGTCCTGTTTCTAGTACGTGAATCTTCAAAATCTCCAAAATACTTTGCCAGAACTCTTAGTATAATTACCTGTTTACCCATTTTGAATATTCAACACATTTTTGCATTCTTTATAACAAAAATTAGTATTCTAGCAATGCTGAAAATTTGGCTAATTTTTATATGTTCTCAGATCCATTCCCTGTTGCCATCTGCAGATAATTTACTCCTGTATTCCTCCACTTGGCTCCATGTAGGATCTCAGACTACACCAAAATTCACTATGGCTTAGAAATACTTCAGTTGCTGAAAGTAAGAATTGATTGAAATATTCAGGTTCTAGATTGTTCCAATATTTTAATAATGTAACCCTTTTGTTGGTATATCTTAGCATTTGATTTTTATTTTTAAATTATTATAAAGAATTGTGACTATCAATGAAATATCTAAAAATAAAACATTCCAAATAATATTTATTTAAATCTAATAGACGTTGACTGGTGTGCAAGTGGAATTATGTTGCAAGGCTTCTATCTGAAGCTCATTTGCTTTCCATTCCAGTTCAGAATTGTGGCTGCCCACTTACAGGACTGAGGCACAAATTTCTTCCTAACTTAATTTACCTCCTTTGCATTTAGCCTAGTGAGCCAAGAAACAGCCAGTTGCTTTCACCAGAAACTTCCTACACTTGAAAGCTTGCTTATTTGCTCCCTTCATTTCTTTCTTTCTATATTTTCTTTGTGAGCTCAAAGCTTCCTGTGTGTGTAGCAAAGGAAATCAGATTGTCCTTAATTCTGAGAATCAAAGGCTTCCCTGGCTCACAGCTGCCAACCAGCTGGGCTTCCTCAGAGTTTTCCCTCACAAAGAATTTTAAGGGGATTTATTTTCAAGCAAGAGTAAAGCAAAATGAAACAAATATACCTGGAAGTACAGAAGTAAATTCATATTTTGGGAAGATAAGGGAAGTGTTATGCTCTAAGGACAAGAACAAAGGCATGATATGAATTGTCAATAGCACAAACTTTACCAAATTTCAGGCAAAAGATCAGGATATGCTCTGCTCAGTTATATTAGTTTCAAAAGTGCATAAATGCACCTTAAATCTTGAGCCTTTCAATGACTGCAAAACAAAGAGGGAGATAAACAGAAAAAATAAATAGTTGGTGTGAATATAAATCAACATTTTGAAAAGGCCACAAACTATTTTTATATTTTAGACAGGAGAATACTTTCAGTCATCAAAGAGAATAAGAAAAGGTGAATAAAAAAAAAAAAACACACTTAAAAATATTCCTACAATAAAAAGAGAGAAATATACAATGGCAGGGACCTTGTGAAATTCCATACCATACTTATTACTTACAGATTGTATTTTCCACTTTCATATATTGTGATAAGAAAAGCCATAGATGAAGATATAGTTTATAATCTGGGCATAAATCATTGCCATCAGTTTTTAGGATAGGAAAAGCAGCAAAAATTACAGACAAAAAACTTTGTTTCATATTGAATGCTGATCTATTGTTATTGCCTTAATGTATTATGAAATGCAAGACTGTGATCTGACCCATGGGCTAGTGGCTGGTACCTTTTGAAGGCGATAACATGTTGGTAGCATGGTGATTAAATTATTAATTTTCATTAAAGATAGATGGACCTGAATGGGAAGTTCAGGGAGTGTGGACCTAAACTGTTCTCTGTGAATCTGATCCTGAGCCCAGGGACTTTGAAATTTTGACATTATAGACTTTGCCTATTACAAACCTTACTGATTTGTGTGTGCATGTCAAGGTGTGAAAGACTGCAGTCTTTGTGGAAAAACTTTAATTTTTTCTGTTCAGCAAAGTAGTTTAAACATTTCTCTACTAGATCACTGTTGTATAAACATTTTTTGTCAGCATGACTGGATTCTGCAGAGCATTCTGGAAGGCATTCTGTGTTTGCCTGCAAAGCATGCCTTCTGTTGGTTTGGAATATTCAGACTGTGGATGTAAACATGTGGAGCTGTTCTCTATTCCCGAATTTCTCCCTCACTGCCATTAGCTGTGATCCTGTTCATACCAGATGCTGCTTGGTCTTTGCCATGCTTTGGGCAGCCCTGCCATTGCTTTTGTTGGAAATTGCAAGTTATGGAAATACTTGTTCTGAGCTTCCATGGTTTGAATCACAAAGAGCTGTGGGACTAAAGGCAGTGCCTGGTGTGGGGAAGAAGGAAAGAGGCTAAAAGATTGAAATGTTCATATTTGCTTACAATGATGAGCTCCTCTATAGATTTATACACACAACACATATATCAGTAATGACTAAAACCACTCTGAGCAGTTTTGACTATCAGATCTGTGCTCTTTTGACTTTTTCTATGTTTAAAATGTAAGCAGTTATGCTGCTTACATAGATACTGCAAAATCAGCCAATTGGAGGGAAATTGTCATTCCATTCATGAAGAATTTAATTCTATTTTCTTTGTAAATCCACCTC